TTCGGCAACAATCCTCGGCCTTGCACCTCTCGGAGCATATCGGAGAAAAGGCCCAACGATACTACAACCTCGCTATATCCCACCGGTTCATTAAAGGACGCAAGTCCGAATACGTAGCGGCTGTATGCCTGTACATCGCATGCCGCACCTCGGGCACCCGACACATGCTCATCGACTTTTCAGACCTCCTTCGCGTATGTCCTCTCCCCTCCTTAAAACCTCCTATATCTAATCCGCACTTTACATCTAGGTCAACGTTTTCGTCCTGGGCGCGTACTACCTCAAACTCGTTCACGAACTCAATATCTCGCTTCCACTCATCGACCCCGCACACCTCATCGCCCGATTCGCAGCACTCCTCGAGTTTGGCGAAGAGACAAATAAAGTCGTTATTGATGCTACGCGCCTCGTCTCGCGCTTCTCTCGGGACTGGATGACTCACGGGCGCCGCCCCGCCGGAATATGTGGTGCCTGTATACTATTGGCGGCTCGGATGAACCACTTCAGGCGGAGCATACAGGAGATCGTGCAGGTGGTAAAGATCGGAGACGAGACGGTGAAGAAGAGGCTAGAAGAGTTCAAAGCGACGCCCAGCGCTGCATTGACGATGCACGATTTCCGGAATGTCATGCTGGAGGAGGCGGCAGATCCGCCGGCGTTTACCAGAGGGCTGGAGAAGTTACGGGAGGGTGTAGAGGGGAAGAGGAAGCGGAAGAGGAAGAGGAAACAGGAAGAGGCTGAAGCGGATGAGGTTGGGGAGACCGAGGCACCTACACACCAACCTATCGACATGTCCACGGGGATCGTATCGCTTGGATTGGACGAGCAGCCAAGTGAAACCGGGAACCGGCCGCTTTTCTACCCATCGGACGACGAAGAGCAGGCCGCCTTTGACGAGATTGTTAGTGCACAACAAGAGCCCGGTGGTGGTCAGGCGTTGGAAACGGACGGAGGGAACAACAAGGAGGACGAGGAAATCGCCGCCGAAGTTTCGGAATTCCTCAGCGACCCCAACAGCTCCAAACTCGCTGCCGCCATCCAAGACGCCGAACAACAGCAGAGAGTGTCCCGGGTGGAAGTTGAAGACGAGCTACAAGGCCTTGATGAAGAAGAGCTCGATGAATTTCTGCTCACTCCTGAAGAAGTCCAGAAGAAGACCCGGATGTGGGTCGAATTCAATCGGGATTATTTGGAAAAGATCGCACGTAAGTTTCTCTTGTTTATTTATTTGGGTGAGCGAGAAGCGCGACTGATTGTATTGCTTTTTAGTGAAGGGGCTTGACACCGAGGAAGGGCAGGAGATCAAGCGCCAGAAGAGTCGCAAGGTTCGAGCCACGCAGTCTCCTATCCTTATTTCCCCCTCACTTGTTGCCCTACCCAGACTCGAAAGCGACAGAAGCCGCGCGACTCGACGACTGCCAACGCAGAGACTCCGGCACAGAGCGCTCGTGCCTTGATGCAGCGGAAAAAGACATTTTCGAGGCGGATTAATTACGCGGCCGTGGAGAAATTGTTCGAGGAGCCGAGTGTGAAGCGTAAGGGCAAGAAGCCAGCGAATGGACTGTCTGATAATGCGGATGGAGAGGACAAGGGTGGGGGCGGTGAGCAGTACGATGATGACAAGTATGAGGAAGGGACAGGAAATGGTGGTGAGATGGACTATTATGATGATGGGTATCAAGAGGAGGTTTGATTGTTTGTATTTTTTTCATTTGTATGTTTGAAGTTCACTGGCTGAGGCTCGTACGCCTACAGATATTAGTGCAACTTATATTTTCTACACGATCTATGATGTGAGTTCACTCGGCCACACTTGGGTCTCAGAGTACCCCGCCTGTAGAAGAGATTTTTTGGTTGAATTCTAGCCTCCAATCGCTAAACCAAGCCGGCCAAGTGTAGCCAGATGCTGGCGCGCCTCTCGATGACAAGAGGCTTGGAAGGGGTCGGACACCTAATACTTTGGGCGACAAGAGGGCCTGGATCGAGTGCCTCCACCGTTACATCGTCATACTGCCATCGGCAGCACTTAAGCGAGATATCAGTTCATGAATGGTACTGGAAGAGCTGGGTGGCCGAATTTTCATTTCCAATTATTAGAAATGACTGATTTCAGGGTCCTGATCTAAGGCCTCAAAAACTGATCGGTCGAAACTTTTGTGCTCAACCCCACCTCAACATGATCCTCACACACCCGTTCATCGTCGGTGCGCCAGTCTTTAGCCTACATTAATCGCAGCTTACACTCTGTGCAGACGGCTGGTTCCGCGAAATCAACTCGCAATGGCCAGGTGTGTTATTCATCTCGAGATGACTCGCTCGTGCTGAAACTTTCGGCCAGGCCAAGCAATGACGCTCAAGGTCAACCGGATCTTGCACGTCGAGCAGAGTAAATACCAAGATGTGCTTGTGTTCGAGTCCGAGACATTTGGCAACGTCTTGGTTCTGGACGGAGTCATTCAGTGTACGGAGCGCGATGAGTTTTCGTATGTCGTCTAATTTTCCTAATCGAGCTTAGATTAATGGAAAAATAGGTACCAGGAAATGATCGCACACCTCCCTCTCGCCTCGCACCCCAACCCAAAAAAGGTCCTCGTTATTGGTGGAGGTGACGGTGGTGTCGTCCGTGAAGTCCTCAAGCACGACACGGTTGAAGAAGTCGTTCTCTGTGACATTGACGAAGCCGTCATCCGAGTTTCCAAGACCTATCTCCCACATATGTCCGGCCTCCTCGCCGACAAGCGCGTTACGGTCTATGTCGGCGATGGGTTCGCGTACCTCCAACGCAATACCGCCCAGTTTGACTGCATCATCACCGATTCTTCCGATCCTGTTGGACCCGCCAAGGCCCTGTTCGAGAAGCCTTATTTCGAGCTCCTGAGGGATGCGTTGGCGGATGGAGGACATATCAGCACTCAGGGCGAGTGCTTGTGGATTCATCTACCACTTATCAACGAGCTGCACCGAACAACCAGCAAGCTCTTTGCTGTCGCCGAATACGCATTTACCACCATCCCCACGTACCCCTCTGGCCAAATTGGTTTTGTCGTTGCCTCCAAAGCTGAGGGTCGGGACCTACGCACGCCCGTTCGACGGCTCGAGGGGTGCAGGTACTGGAACGAAGACGTGCACAAGGCAGCGTTTGTGCTTCCCGAATTTGGACGGGCGATGTTGAAGGAGGGCAAGAACGTTCTGCCACATTTGGGACCAGTTCTAGAGGCTGGAGCCAAGGAGCGGAAGATCTTGTTGCTTGGGAGTGGGTATGTTGCACGGCCTGCTGCCGAGTATATTCTGCGTGATCCTCGTAACCACTTGACTATCGGTGAGTAAATGCGTCCCAATCTTATATCAAATACTAACGTCTGTTGCACCAGCCTGCCGCACCCTCGCTACTGCTCAAGCTTTGGCCGCTTCCCTCCCTCGTTCCACTCCTCTTGCCTTGGACGTCACTTCTCCCGAACTCGAGTCTCAAGTTGCAGCGCACGACCTTGTCATATCGCTCGTACCGTTTACCCATCACCCAGTCGTCATCGAGGCAGCGATCAAAGGAAAGACTCACGTTGTCACGACTTCGTATGTCTCTCCTACGATGCGTGCATTGGACGAAAAAGCCAAAGAGGCGGGCATTGTCGTCATGAACGAGATCGGCTTGGATCCTGGTATCGATCACTTGTATGCGGTCAAGACGATCGACGAGGTCCACGCCAAGGGCGGCAAGGTGTGTTTCTTGCCCTACCATTGTCTATGCGCCTAACCCTGGTGCAGGTCAAACAATTCTTGTCCTATTGCGGTGGCCTTCCCGCGCCTGAAGCGTCGAACAACCCTCTTGGCTACAAGTTCTCCTGGTCGTCTCGTGGTGTCCTCTTGGCGCTCCTCAACACTGCAGTGTATTATGAGGCTGGCGAGGCAAAGACTGTCACTGGAAAGGAGCTTATGGGTGTGGCCAAGCCATACTACATCACGCCTGCCTATGCCTTTGTCGCGTACCCTAACCGGCAAGTCGACCATACTTGCCTGGCAGTGTCTTGACTTATACGCTCGTAGTGACTCGACACCATTCCGCGAATGGTACAACATTCCCGAAGCCGAGACGGTCGTCCGTGGTACGTTGCGGTACCAGGGATTCCCGGCGTTTATCAAGGCGTTGGTGGATATTGGGTTCTTGAACGAGGAGAAGAAAGAGTATCTCGCGCGTGATACGGAAATTAACTGGGCAGAGTTGACAGCCAAGACAGTTGGTGCATCCTCTACTGACGAGGCGTAAGTCTGCACTGTGTTCATACCCATACCAATTACTCACACTGTTACAGTGCGATTATCAACCGCGTCAAGCAGCTCACGTCCTTCCCCGATGCGTCTGAAGAAGCCCGTATCATCTCTGGCATGCGTTGGCTCGGACTCTTTTCGACTGAGTTTGTCACACCCCGTAGTGGGAACTTGCTTGATACGTTCTGCGCGCGGCTGGAAGGCTTGATGGCGTATGAAGAAGGCGAGCGGGACCTAGTGATGCTTCAGCACAAGTTCTTTGTCGAGTGGGCGGATGGGAAAGCCGTAAGTACGATCTCAACACACTCACGCCATAAATCAACGCCATGCCTATAGGATATCATTACTTCTACCCTCGAGGCGTACGGCGAGCGCGGTGGGTACAGCGCAATGGCTCGCACTGTCGGTGTACCATGCGGTATTGCGGTGCAGCTCATCCTTGATGGCGAGCCTGCACTGTCGAAGCCTGGCGTGCATGCGCCTTATACCAAGGAGATCTGTGATCCGTTGAGGGAGAAGCTCGAGGCAGAGGGAATTGGAATGGTTGAGAGGGTGCTGTAATTAAATGTAAAATCGGGGAGTGGCCACGGCTTAGAGGCAAATATTGAATATAGTTACTTGCATAATGTGCTATTGTTGTGTAAAACGGGTTCAAAATCTGAAAAAGGAGGCAGTAGGGCAGGTTAGGAATGATACCCCTCGGTGTTCACAGAATTATGTGTTGATCCAACAAACAAGCCCTTATAGCTCAGTGGTAGAGCGCATCACTCGTATCACGTGATCGTGCTTACGTAATCAGATATGATGAGGTCTGTTGTTCAATCCAGCATGGGGGCATCCCTTTTAGCTGTTTCTACAGGTTGCAACATAGATTTCCTTGAAACATGAAGGCGATCACAGGCTGGTAGCCAAATTAGTCGTGAGGATCTGGAAGCCTCTCTACATTTTACTCCCTATTAAAGCTAGGGCCAAATGACACACTATTGCCAATTGTTAACCGCTCGGCCCGGTCACTTTTGCATGCTGATGAGACCTACATTTTGGGGTGCGTGAATTTACGTTTTTATGCCTGGGGTCACATTTTGCTAGACCCAGCTCGAAACTGACCCAATTGCAAGCCTGAAGTAGGCTGACGTTCGATCCGGCGAGGAGGCAATAGTTTTTACACGGTTTTTATTTAACCTCTAGTATCCGGCCAGTAGCGACTATGTGGCGCAGGAAACGCGAGCCCATAACTCCAGGCCAACGAGATGGTGGAGGCATAAATGAGATGCGAAATACATTTGCACGAATTTGTGGAAGATAACAGAGTATTTGCAATCGGCGCTGGAGTCACTCTTCCTTCTCCCTACCACACCGTTTTATCCCACAATCGATATGGTCCGTGGCACTGGCAAATTCAAACAGAAACGCGGCGGAGGACGCTCGTTCTCTCGGGATATGGTACTAGACAGTGACGGAATCGCTAGCGGAACTGATCGCCGGTATGTGTAGATCAACTTGCTCAGCCACGAGACATGCTAATTTGGTTCCGCCAGTGCGAGCCGCCGTAAAAAGCAGCAAGACGGTGAGGACGAAGAGGGTTCTGAAGAAGAGGAGGAGGAAGAGGAGGAAGAGGAAACAGAGGAAGAGGATGAGGAAGAGGCAGCCTCCTCGTCTGCTCAACCTGAACTCAGCCGCGCCGAACGCAAAGCTCTCAAGAAGAAACAAGGTACTAAGCAAAAGGGAGGTGCTATCGGTACCATCAAGGAGGCTGGGAGCGGCGAGGAGAGCCAGGACGACTCGGATTTGATCAATCCTAACCACGTCCGCATGAAGAACCTATCCATCTCGGATATTAGTGCCCCCAGGGAGCTGACCAGGCGCGAACGGTGAGTAGTCGCAGTATGGTTTGGCCACCGGTCGCTAATATAATAATACTAGGGAAGCCAAAGAGGCCAAGGAAGCTAAGGAGAAGTACTGGAAGGTGAGTTATCCCGTTTTTTGGGTGGGCGGAGGTTCAACAATTGTGTCAATCAGCTTCATCAAGCTGGCAAGACGGACCAAGCCAGGACCGACCTCGCCCGCTTGGCAGCGATTCGCAAGCAGCGAGAGGCCGCCGCGGCACAACGCAAGCAAGAAGCGGAAGGCGAGTGTTATCATATGCATGTTGATAATTGCTGATATTATCGCAATATCCAGCCAAGGCTGCAGAGATTGAGGCGAAAGAGAAGGCTTCCGGCCAGCGTCGGAAGTAAATTGGTGAGTCATGATGAAATGGGTACCTAGTGAAGTTTAACCATTTATTAGAGCCTACGAGTTGTATTATTTTCGCACACCACTGGATGTTCTCGTAATATTACTGAATATATTCTGTTAACGATGATGAAACGGGTGAACGCGCAACGTCACAACATAATACGATGGTATCCTCTGGAACAGGGTGAGTATACAATCGTGCTGGTACACTAAACATTTCATTTGAATCCCAGGGATTACAAAACGGGAACGGCCCCACAGTGAATGTTTAGCTACTCCTGAGGGTTCCCTGGATTCGAAGGCACATATTCGGGCGGACTTTGCTTGCCACCAATATCTACACACAGGCCGAGCGAGCCTCGCCACAACATGTTAAGCAAGCAGCTCACAGTTCAGCACCGCACCATTCGCCCCATGCCGCCTTCCCTGGGGTGGCACAACCGAAGAACCACCGGCGTCGAGTCTGGCGCGGGCCGTTGCTCCTGCGAAAAGACTGTCTGACTCGCGTCGCTAATTGGTTAGACCATAGGTCAGCCTTTTGTTGCTCATGTGCGGCTGTTGTAGCGAGGTCCCCACAGGTGAGACGAACGGGCTCGGCTACATATCCTGTGATTTAATCTTTACCTGCACCAACTACATTAAGATCCCAAGCGATACACTGATCGCGCTCAGGCCACTGGGAAGTCCGGCTATGTTAGTGAGTGTAACGGTATGCGTCCTGCTTGGATCCAGTCCACCCTGGAAATACAGAATAGTATCGCCGACGAGCTACTCAGTCCCAGCACCATAGAGATATGATGGTGCCAAGTCGAGCGCCTACACGGGCGAGTGTAGAAGTTGCGTCCCGAACCGGCACTACGCTACCACTTGGTAGCTTGATGGACTTGTTAGACCATGCGTCGGCTCACGTATGACACAGCTCCAGTCAACGTTCACAGCTCCGGCACAGACACCAGACGCCCCAGTGGTTCCTTTATCGGCAGTGCCTCGCCTTGAAACTTGAGGGACGCTGCAGTACCAGCGGCGCTAGTTTGATTATAAGGTGTGGGCGCTGCTGTGAATGGGTGGATTTGTCGAAAATTTGGGACCCTTTGTAGGAAACAGACGAGTTCCGATCGTCATGGATGATGGCTTAAACTGCCCTTGGGATGAGTACCACCACCGTAATTCCAACTTTTCGCCTACACCGATGCCAACTCGACGTTCACAATCGCCTTGTCAAACGAGAACGTGCTCGTGAACCCGTTTGTGTGTGGCATAATAGTGGTTGTATGCTTCCACATGGAGGCGTCAGGAACAGCGAGATTTCTGTCATGATAGCGTTTGGGATAGCAGGTGTTATCGAAACTGATTTCGTAGCTGCGACTGACTTGCCCATAAAGTATACGCTTTTCATACAGGAGTACATGAACACCGCATCGCTTTTGGATCAGTATTTCTTTACGTAGAATATCAAAGACGAATTCGATTGGTCTTTCTAAGTCACACCAAACGAGTCTCCAAGCAGGGTGTCCCCTTCTGCCTGACAAAAGCCTGAAATTGAGTCGTACATAGACCAGCCACCTGCCGCATCAGCACCGCCCAAGAGACTTTGAGGTATGTAGGTATAAGCTACCCGAGAATCTCACCTACCATAAGGTGAGTAGTGAAATAGTAGGCTCGAATCGTCGAGGGTGACATTCCAGCTACCCGGCATCTGGAGCAGCACCTTCCTGCCAGCCTGCATGGCTGACCGGTATAATGGCGAAGAGCCCGAGCGTTCTAGGGACGAAAGTGTTATGACAGACTGGACTCCTTCCCTGCCTGTGGCACGCACGCCGTTCTGTGTGCCTATCTGCGGAGTTATCCTGCGCATACAGCAAGGTTCGGCCTAGTGTAGTCGTCGTATCTCTAACCACGAGTAACGTCACATTTTGGTGTGGTTGTGGTTAGAGAATTGAGGAGTCACGTCACAGTTTTTGGCCGGTGGTTAAGGCCAAACTAAGCTGTCACACAGCCACGTGGTTAGAAATATGATGACTATAGTACCCTCCGGTTTCAGCCGTAACTCGTGAGGATTTGGGAAAGCCCCAACCATCCAGAGGTCGCCGAGCTGAAGTAAACGTGAAAAACAGGCTAGTTACCACTGTTAATCCAGCGTTGACATAATATTAGGGCACTACCCAAGATCCTCTCGGAACCAGGCGCCGCACAATACGTGTGGTGAAGTATGGACCCCTCAAACCGTGTCAAGAGTCTAGACCTACCTGGGTAGATGCGGAGTTGTCGACCTTCATTGTTCAGCTGCTGTTGTGCTTCTTGGACTCTGCACCTATCTCCACCTCCGTGTCTGTGAAATACTATGTGTAACCAACTATGTGCGCACTAGAGCGTGGCCAAAGGAACCGTGAGATACACTTCGAGGAAATGAGAAACAAATGACTAAGGTATCCCCCGAGTCTGCCAGCAACAGTGGAGGTCATCGCACGGTACAGTGGTACCCCCGATGATGCATACTGGCAGTCATGCATAACCCCCAGTGATGCATGGAACGGTCAAAATTGCAA